TAAGCAATCACTCTGTTCTTACTGCACTGTAATCTTTTAAGGCGACCTGACAATATGTTGTGAGCAGCATAAGAGCCATAATTCCCAGACAAGCGAATTTCTTGAACGATACATGTCCAACAACCAACGTAGTGCCTAGCAATAGTTCAAAAACTCCCATAGACTGCATGTAGATTTGAGGACTAGGTATCACTCCAATATGCCTTAGTGGTGATACTTCAGTGAAATTCTTGAATGTCTTTAACTATGGTTACGAAAACATATTCCAATAAATCAAAGAAGCTTACCATCTCTCGGTAAAGTGTTGTATTCAAGCGCACTGTCTTTACTATACCAGGCAGTATGAACAGCAGTCCGAGAACTACAGTTGACACATGGGTAGCAAGATGTGACGCCATTCTGCAGTCTTGTAACGTAAAAACGAGTAGTAATATTCTGATATGAAGATTTACAGATTTCAAAAGTTATTTTAAAATGTAAAAACACTAGACAACTGTTTTTGAACGACGGTAGGATGTGAAAGACTGGTGAAAAACATTCTACATATGATAAATTAGCTCTTGCTGAAGCAATCAAGTGACTAAGTCATATAAGCGAAGTTGTATTCAGTCTGTTTTAAGAAGGGTTAACAATGCCTAAAAAGTAATATTTACGGATTCCTTATTGAGATTATCCCTAACTCTCAGAATTACATGTAAAGTAACCGGGCAATCAATAAACTAGTATGAATTTGGGTTAGTTTAGATTAGCACACAATCCAACATCCAGGGAGAAGTATCTTAGTTTGTATAATCGTCAATTTATGTCTAGATGAGCATTATAGATGTGAGGCATACATAGGTCTTGAAGTGAATTGCCAGTTTATACTGATAAGTATCCAAAATAAGTTTTCACTATTATTTCACTTGAAAACAAACGTTTTTAGATCACGAGATGTTATGAAGGTACTAGATATGCAAAATTAAGTCCGACGAGTGGAGTTAGAATGAACAGTTATAAACGAATATAAATTCAGTAAAATGATGGTATTCCCTAAACTGTGCAAAACTACCAGTAAGACAGTTAAAAACTATGGGAGATTTCTGAGCTTGACAAATAGTCTCTCGTTATGTAAGTTCTCTAGAGCAGCCGGTGTGTAATGTTTATTGAAATGTCGGCTATGTATACTCCGAAAATTATGAAGGATGTCATGATCTATAAAAGTTTAAGCACTAAATTCCTTGGATTACTGATTGATCAACAGACAAAAATCCGTGTACAGACATCATAGTAGCAGTGGTAAAGTTAACACTAAGTTATATCTTTGACTCCGAAATCAGTATGTTTCGACCTGATAACTGCAAAATACCGATTCCAAAAGTAGGCAAATGGTTGGAAGTACAACATTTTTGACAAGATTACTAGTTTCTTTGTACTAAACTTAATAAACATCACTTTATCAGTTGCGTGCTGGGATGACATTATCTGATAAGATTTTTACTGATAGTCAGATTATTAACCTAAGGTTGTTTCGGAGATCAAAATGCTAAGCTAACCATTACTGGGTACTGGGAGCCTATTCTTCTAAAAACATATACACTACAAAGCATAAAATTTGAAACATGTGCAGATGTCCCAATCAGTAACTTTTCTGACGTGTTATTCACTTGATATATTGCATAAACTAGCACTTCTGATTGTTCCAATTAAACATTATCAGTAAGATTTCCCCAGACGAGCAAGGGGGAAAAAGACGAACTTTTGGGCGAATTCTTACGTGAAGTTGGTGTAAATATAAGCGATAATGCACCTAAATATCGTCTTCTCCCCAGGTCCGAGGGAAATAGTGCGTATTTTACCCAGTGTCTCGAAATTGACACTTGCTTTCCCGAAATTCGCATACACTTGTCTACTATCCCCCTAAATTGACGTCAAATTGTCTACCTTACCCAAAAATCAACACTACATTGTTTATTCTCACCGACCAGTTACCTATTTTATGAAACACAATTTATGGACGACCTGTGGGAAACTTCTGTTGTTGATAATGGGGAAGGTTCGACTGAATAGCCAGAGACTTTCACTGGCTATGGGGTAAACTACAGAATCCTTAACGATCATGTAGAGAAGCCAAGTCTGGAGATTAAAAAGATATGAAAATCCATCCGAGCTAATAAAAAGGGAAACTACAGGAAACAGGGGAAACAACGGCGAGTATTCTGTGTAAAAATTTCCCCTACTGTCATAAGCTACTTTTAGGGAAATATCTTTATTGAGGAGAGACTTAAGGCACAGTAAGAACACGGTAAAAACGTCAGACCCTTTAATAGCCGCCCGCCGTTTTGTCTCAATGACCTTGAAAGGTATGACGAGAGGCGGTCATTCCGTATTTCAATTACCGTGGGTCTGTTGGGTTGCACTAATATCAGGTTTTCCCTAGTTTAAGTCGTCTTTTACTACGACGAAAAGCCAAAAATAACTGCCGAAAGTATTAATTTAGCTTTCTCTGTTTTGTAGTGTACACGTTGACTATTGTTGCTTCGTAAGTTGATCTGGGATTCCAAATGCTCTAATGAAACTCACCGCCTTTGTTTAATTTTTTCATGAGGTTCAGAAAACAACCTAACAAAGATAAGAATAACTTGACAGTTATAGGTACGGGAAGTTTGTGTGAATCGTTGTTTTACGCAAAGTTTATACGAAATGTCAAGTAACAGGTAAATCTTAGATGTTTGTAGTACATCCTTCAGTTAATAAAATATTATTGCAAAGAATAAGTTTCTAATAATTACTCTGTCGTTTGCAGTGCTTCATGTTCAAGTGACATTTCAATCGACCTAAGCGAAGCGTTTCAACGTATAATACAGAACAGGCGTTTCGGAAGCTGAACTGAATTCGATAGTGCACTAACGGAATTCCAAAACGTGTGGAAGAATAATTTTATCCCTTCTCAGACTAGCCATGCTCATTACATTCACACCGGAAGTAAACTGCTGAAGGACATGAGATTTAAATACATTTTTGTGGTGTTTCATTGCACATTTGGTCCAGAAGGTATAACAGTGAATCAAAAAACAGTGAGAACATTAACTAACACGTGACATTTAAGGTATAAGTTCCTAAACTGCCAATCAAGGTTCCGTGTGAGATTGTAAGGTGAAGAATATGTCATAAAATCATACAACACGCTTCACAATCATCCTTGTAGTAGATCATAGATGGTTTGTAATCCATGGACCAGAAGATTGTCGTCAGAAGAAAAAGGAAATATGAAGCCGGTGATATTGCAATCGCGATCAACAGATGAGTTAATGGAAAATATTAAGGATCGAACCAGAAAGCAGGCTACTGGTAATGTTAAAACTATAAAAACTCAACTCTCCATAGGTAAATGTATAGAGGTGTATTTCAGGTTGTCATACGCGAATGCAGGTAATCGATATGTGAAGTGAGAGAGTATTCAGAAAATGTATGTCACCAGAATCTTCTCTAGCACTTATGAGCAGATACAATTATATAACAAATATTCAGAAGTTGTTTGTATTGATTCTATTTACAATACCAATAATAAAAAGTGATTACGCTTTTTTTTAAGTTTTACTTCGTAGATATTCGTTATTCTAGTTGATAATAACCCGTAATTTTGGACGAGGGCGTCCTGTTTTGTTTGCATGAAGGCAAAAAGAATGGCGAGCACAAGTAATGTGGGTTCTGGATAAATCCAGGGAATTAATCGGGAATACGTCAAAAACGTAAACATTTGCTATGAATTGCTCACGAGCGGAAAGTGCGGCTGTCAGTATTACACACAGTACTGCAAGTATAATTTTGTGAGCATTTCGCGTATGTCGCGCTTTCCGTAAAAAGTTATGCCAATCGTGATTTTAATTAAATTGTCTTTACACTCGCAACAAAATCTTGAGAACGCACGTCAGTAGATTGGTAACAGCAAAAACTATTGGAAGGTATTGAGTGAAATGTATTTATTCTGTAAATTTATTCAATATTTCAGAATTATTACCCAAAAAGACAGACGATTGGATCGGTATCTGCACCGATTTTGGATGTCTCATAAAAGTATGTGCGCCAAAGCGTTCAATGGCAAGTGTTTTAACTGACGGCAACAACACGAATAATTGTGTGGAGTCATTGAGTCGTCAAATAAAAGATAAGTACGCAAAGCAGACAACTTGCACAAATGTACATACAAGGTTTTATAGACCATGACATCCTTCATAATTTTCGGAGTATACATAGCCGACATTTCAATAAACATTACACACCGGCTGCTCTAGAGAACTTACATAACGAGAGACTATTTGTCAAGCTCAGAAATCTCCCATAGTTTTTAACTGTCTTACTGGTAGTTTTGCACAGTTTAGGGAATACCATCATTTTACTGAATTTATATTCGTTTATAACTGTTCATTCTAACTCCACTCGTCGGACTTAATTTTGCATATCTAGTACCTTCATAACATCTCGTGATCTAAAAACGTTTGTTTTCAAGTGAAATAATAGTGAAAACTTATTTTGGATACTTATCAGTATAAACTGGCAATTCACTTCAAGACCTATGTATGCCTCACATCTATAATGCTCATCTAGACATAAATTGACGATTATACAAACTAAGATACTTCTCCCTGGATGTTGGATTGTGTGCTAATCTAAACTAACCCAAATTCATACTAGTTTATTGATTGCCCGGTTACTTTACATGTAATTCTGAGAGTTAGGGATAATCTCAATAAGGAATCCGTAAATATTACTTTTTAGGCATTGTTAACCCTTCTTAAAACAGACTGAATACAACTTCGCTTATATGACTTAGTCACTTGATTGCTTCAGCAAGAGCTAATTTATCATATGTAGAATGTTTTTCACCAGTCTTTCACATCCTACCGTCGTTCAAAAACAGTTGTCTAGTGTTTTTACATTTTAAAATAACTTTTGAAATCTGTAAATCTTCATATCAGAATATTACTACTCGTTTTTACGTTACAAGACTGCAGAATGGAGTCACATCTTGCTACCCATGTGTCAACTGTAGTTCTCGGACTGCTGTTCATACTGCCTGGTATAGTAAAGACAGTGCGCTTGAATACAACACTTTACCGAGAGATGGTAAGCTTCTTTGATTTATTGGAATATGTTTTCGTAACCATAGTTAAAGACATTCAAGAATTTCACTGAAGTATCACCACTAAGGCATATTGGAGTGATACCTAGTCCTCAAATCTACATGCAGTCTATGGGAGTTTTTGAACTATTGCTAGGCACTACGTTGGTTGTTGGACATGTATCGTTCAAGAAATTCGCTTGTCTGGGAATTATGGCTCTTATGCTGCTCACAACATATTGTCAGGTCGCCTTAAAAGATTACAGTGCAGTAAGAACAGAGTGATTGCTTAATTTTTATTGCCTTCAGACCATTGTGCCTTGTGGATACTTTTGCCTTCTTAGCAGGTTATATTTCTCCCTGGACAAACTTGAAGATCGACGAGTAAAATAAACTGATTAAACTTTTATGAATCTTCTATTATGTACATAACACAATTTCGATATCTTTCGTTTTATTCCCCGAGTGCTTCCAAATATATTTTTTGTTGCGAATGTGAATACTTTTTGCAAAAAACCATCTGGGACTAATTTTATCCTCGTATTTGTATTGCAGTGATACGATAGTAAATCAACACCTCAGGTTTTCATTCAGGATTTGTAAGACTGATGGACGTAGACTGCGTGGAGAGTTGTTAGATGTAGGTTATTTTTGACCTTTGATCGGAACATATGGAGCTTAAATTTACTTGTCAAATTTAACACAACAAAAAAGGTATCCGACCCAGAAGTTTACGGTTATAAAGCATGTCCATGAAAAGTGAACAAGCGTAGGTTTTATTAATAAGTGTTCATAATGAGATATGGTTAACACTCACGTTCCTCAACTTAGTATGTTATTTGGAGCAGAGTTGTAAAACAGCTAAGGATTGCTAAACTTAGAGATGAAACCCTTGTTATTAAGTGCTTATCTGAGTCGCGTTAGATGCAGACTGGTTGGCTTTATGTAGGCAGTTGTAAACAATTGTTGAAGACAGTACAATTCTTGATGTATGACAGTGAGGCAGATGGACAAATTTTTTATTTGCTTCTGAGCTGTGAACATTAGGTTATCTTGCCTTTCGTTTCGCTATTCGACCTTTTTTGTTATCTACTGAGATTTTCATCACATACCTGTCTGTCTGGGTATATTTTTGTTGGATGTCAGATGTAATAATCTGTACGCACTAAAAAAGCTTTTTGTTTGTCGTACGATCAGTCTTGATGTAGATGAGGAATCAACTGACATTTCCAGGCGGAAAGGTATGTGGTAAGTTTGTCCCAATATCTAAAAACCTACTAGTCAGGAGGTCATGACAAGTTTATGCTTAGTAGCATCCTAATATTCGTTCTTCGAAAGGAGTACATAGCCGTACCAAATGAAGGTAGCCATAACCAACATATCACAATCATATAAAATTTGTGTTTTGAAGTCCAGAAAAATATATGTAAGCTAAAGTTGAAGGTGTGACTATTCAGTCCACCGTTTATTCACCCACTATTAGATGAAGGTTAAATTATCTGTACTTTTTGTTAAAAACAGCTTCTAAAGTCACTAAGTATCCTGCTATATTTTATGAATTCTTCAATAACCCGTGACTTTCATGTGCCATATTGGTGGATAGGTTATAAAATTAACCGACTGACTTTTGTGATATTACAAATTAATTGTGTAGTAAAAGTCATTCAATCATCCAAGCGAGTCTCTTTAAGTTTTAGAAGACTTGTCACTTATGGAGCTTAAAATCCTGTTGACTTAATGTTTCTAGCAAACTTAACAGCGTCCTAAGAAAGAATTTGATTCATTGAGTGGTTTATTGCAAAAGAGTACATATATTCGGTATTTGAATTTTAAAATGTTATGAAATGAAGCTCCTGGTAGCTGTATGAAGTGTTGTGATAATCGGTTATAATTAATTTGGTATGGTTACGAGTCCCGTATATACCAGTATCAAAGTCTTAGCGCGCACAGTGACCATAACTGGAAGTATTGTATTTGGAAATCAAATCAGCTGCGGAATCATGTACAAAGGAAATCGTCAATTAGTACAAATATCACGACTGCCACAGCTTAAATGGATTTTGGGCCTTCCGTAGTTTTTTGTACGTCTTCTGTTCAGATTGATTGAACTCATCTTAGAGTAATTTTGGGGGTTAGGTATAGTATTATTTAGGAAAAATTCATTGGTATTGGTGTTTGCAATGGAAACCCAAACTGACTCACCCGGCTCCTTGAAGAATATTCCGTTGATGTGGTTGACATGCATACAAATCATAGACTTACCAACATTCTTAAGCAGACCTTTCGTAAGTTGTCGAGGATCAGCTTCTTGATAGTAGTTAATGTCAGCAGACTATAAACACTCAATATTCGGAAGAGCATTTTTCTGTCTAAACAATTTTGTCATTGTTTCTTTTGTATACGATTTAGGATTTATGGACTTAAAGATTTCACCTAATCTCCTCTCTGGTCTTTGAATTTCTTAGCAGTATTAGGATTAAATTCAGTATTCAAGCAACTGACATTTTGTGCTTGAGCATTAGAATAGACAGGTTGTAGAGTTATGTGCAAATTTTCGTTTTCGATTCTGTAGTCAACGAGTTATCAGACTCCACCAGAACTGCCTTCAGTGGTCAATGAGGAAAGTTGTCCTTGGTGCCTTATTAAATATTCAAGCCCCAGAATAAATAGCCCATGATCAGTGATAAGGAATTCACAGGTCATGGTTGAAGATTTATCATCTCCGATCGGAAAGTTACAACATCCAAGAATAGGGAGTTTATGACCAATAATACTTGACGTAGAAACTCCAGTAGGTTTAATTATAGCATTGGAATTTAATGACTCGAACGTTCCGACTGAAATGATGTGCTTGGTACTGCCAGTATCGACAATAAAATCACGAAACGAACCACTACACGGATATAATCGTTTTCGAATGGGAAGTGAATTACTCCAAGTTGTTAATAATGGTACCATGTGAATATGAGAATGATCCGAACCCGAATAACAGGGTTTAATATCACCAGTAGTTATGCACATCAACCTGCTATGTTTGACTTCGTCACACTTAAAGCATTAAGCATCGTGAGGTGGACATGATTTCCAAGAATACAGTTTACCACAAGACAAAAATTTACCAAACTTGTGCTCACCCTAATATGTTGCTTTAAAAATCTTTTTTGAATTATTTCTTGTATTAACACAAGAATGAGAATTATGCTTGATTAAACACAAACTTGGACGGCCTTGAGGATGTAATTCGTCACGACAACTGAGCTAAGTATTAGAAACATACACTGATTGGAAATCAGGATCATTCACGGCCTCATAATTAACGTGTGCTCCTTTAATTTTCTGAATTGAGCTCTCAGATGTTTGAACTAGCTCTATTTTCTAATTCTGAATATTTATCTCAGGAATCAATCGATCACAAAGTTGGATACCCAATTGGTCGCCATTATTACCATTCGCAGCCTTTTTCTGTAGTCTATGTATAAAATATCTGACATTCTGGTCATTCTATCTCAAAGTTTTATGGAATTTCGATCTTTTTCTGCATTCAAAGCTGGCACACTGCACATGACTGAGTAATTTCTTGAGGATTTTATGTGGAAATAAATTGGCTTGTGTAGAAAAACCAGATTCTTCGACAAGTTATACGCGTCGTTACCAATGAATATCATGAAATGGGTTGAGTTTTTATTATCCTTAGTACATTTTCTAATCACGAGCTAGATTTAAAAGTACTCCATATAGTCGGCGACCATACCACGTTGAAAGCACCGGTTCTCGTCCGATATAGTCTTCAAAAGCCTCACTTGAATGTCCAACTGTTCAAAAGCTGACTCCGCCACGACGCCAGTGTGCTAATCGGTATTAATGAATTCATTATGGCTGGGAGTATCAAAGTTAAAGAGAACATGGCGTAACTGGAAGTTTCGATAGAACAATGAGAAGACGGAGTTGATCTGAAAAATGTGATGTATTAGCGCTATACATTTCGAACAATCTGGTCACACATATACTGGAAGTATTGTGTTTGGAAATCAAATCAGCTGCGTAATCATGTACATAAGAAATCAATTAATTCAAATATCATTAGTGCCTAGTCAATGCAATATCCAGCGGTATTTGATGACTAAGCGTCGGTCTGCATACAAGGCTTTACAAATTACTTGTATTGGTGATAGAGATACTAGACAGATGTTGATCGATGTTAAGTCTGTATTTGGTGAATGGAAGTTCTGTTTAAACCGTTGAGCTCCATATACATAATGTATGTTTGAAAGAACTTCTAAGTGGTAACTTACACAGTTTTATAGTTTGTATATGTCATCCTTTTGTGATTGTGATATACTTCACTTATATAAAATCATCAAAGCTGAGTATGAGACAATTGTGGAAAGAGATGTTCAACATTTAACTCGGAGATAAACCATTCAATATAAGAGGCGGGATCAATGAATCGAAATAATTCGAGTTGGTCGGTTGGCATGGCTCGGTTTTGCAGGCGTGGTCCCTGTTGAATGTTATCTTATGTCTTTTACTCATAATAAATATATTGTTCTATCTCTAACCTAAGCTTGTTCTCCATCACATATTGGTAATTATTACGATACGATGAGTCAGTGTAGACAATGATGTGACTTCCACGTATGATCTTATAGATTAGTCAGTTATATTATGACAAATCTACAATTTTAATATTAGGTCTATTATTAGAGCAGTACTAGTATCACAGTAGATCATGATTCTACATACTCCTTTCATTGCTTATCTATTCCACTGTATTTTCTGCTTACTCGAGTTTACAATCACCATAGTTTTGTGCGTGGTTTTGAGCAGTAATGTTATTTTGTAAGACTTCAGATGGATGGAGAATCTGTCGAGAATACTTTCAACGATTTTAGTTTGTCTAATTATTGTCCGGAATAATTAAAAATTTTAAGTATATAGGGGAACTATCTATTTTCAGAGTTGAGTGATCCGTCATTTTATAAATCCTACTTTGACAATTGTATGAATGAAGCAATACGTATTGTCAGTTTTCCCTCGTGTGGTATTGTTTTTAGCTATATTAGAAACAGTGTTTTACTCAAGATTGCAATTGTTCCCACTGTCATTATTAAAATACTTAATGCAATCATGACAAGCAACAGATGTCTGTATAAACCATGTCATTAAACTATGTGTTTTATTATTAGTTGTAGGATTCTTTTGTCAAGTAATAAATTTCATATAATTCTTAACAAGAATATTCAGAGTGTAACTTACAAACGTGTTTTAAAGTATTAGTCCCATTTGTGGTCCAAGAAGTTAAAATTGTCGAAATTTTTTATTTTCATTTGTATTATGAAAATTAGTGTTCATATTTGTTTGTTGTCTCAGGATTCTCAGATTTCCTGTGTAGTTTTACAATAATTTGTGGTCTGTTTATCCAATGTACGTTTGCTCAGATAGGTAACTTGGAATGTTCGAAATAGAGTGCTCAGTTGTCAACTGAGTTCATTCG